TTCCAACAAGCGGGATTGGCCTAGGGGAATTTTTAGTGGGGTTTTAAGAGAAATTTTAATTATATAGGCCATAGTAAATATTTCTTTTTAATTAGGTTTTAAATTGGGTATTTATTGTTGTATCTGTTTTATAAGGCTGTCAGCCGCCCTGAGTCCGTAAGGAGAAGGGCGGGATAAAAATTGAATAAATAAAATAAAATAAATAAATAAATTACTTAGGTCTACTTTTGAAGAAGCGTATCTGAAGTGTACATGGAAACCTTACCAGTCATATCCTGTCCTTAACAGCCTTCCTTATTGGTGAAACAGCCGCCCCCTCTGCCGCCCCCCCCCCAACAGTCCCACTTCATGGTCTCCTTTTGCTCATTCCTATCCTACACCTGACCTAAACAAACTGAAGATTTAACTGAGAAAAATATTGATGTTATATATTTATACAAATGCATTTTTTCCATATTTCAATTATGAAACATGTAGAAGACAGTTTACAGACGGTGCAAGTGTCTTTACTTTCAAACCAGCAACTGATACTTGTTCCACCCATGGCTGCTACCGGCTAATTTAAGGATTTATAATTGTTTCCAGCACTCAGTGTGCAGGTCTAGCGCTCCTCAATAGGGCACAAGGAGCAACACAATTATCCTTCTACAGCAGAGTTTCTTAAACTATTGTTTCTCAGAACCCCTTTCCACTTTTAAGAATTACTGAGGTCTCCCCCAAATGTTTTTGTTTGTTTGTATTTACTGTATTAAAGATAAAAAATGTGCTGTTCTCCCAATTGTTGGATGGGATTTTAATATATTTTTTTTTAAAAAATTCATTTTTAGACTGGCAAATAATTTTGATTTTGCAGGTCACTGACAGGATCTAGAACCAACTTTAAGAAACACTGATCTATAGGATTCCCAGAAACAGAAATGGATAGTTATCCTGCATTAGCTACACTTGTAATTTTATATCTCTATCTCTGATCTGCAAAATAACAACAAAAAACCTGGTAACCATGACTACCATACAGGTAGTCCACAAGCACGATAAGAGTCCAAAATTTCCGTTGTTAAGCAAGGCAGTTGCTAAATCAATTTTGCCCCATTTCACAACCTTTTTTGCCACAGTTAAGCGAATCACTGCAGCTAAGTTAATCATGTGGTCATTAAGTGAATCCGGCTTTCCCCATTGACTTTCCTTGTCGGAAGCTGGCTGGGAAGGATACAAATGGTGATCACGTGACCCAGGGACAGTGCAACTGTCATAAATACATGCTGGCTTCCAAGCACCCAAATTTTGACTGTGTGATCACGGGGACGCTGCAATGGTCATAAGTGTGAAGAACGGTCACAAATCACTTTTTTTTAACGCCATTGTAACTTCAGTCACTAAACGGCTGTTAAGTTGAGGACTATTTGTATACCTGGGTGACTGTAATGTACTCTGCTTGGTGGTACCTTTGAAGAGCATCCATAAAACACCATTGGCCCAAAATGTCATATATTGGAGTAGCCATATTCCTATAAACTCTATATTGCACAGGTTATCAAAAGGTTTTAGGGTGCAGTTCAGATTTTTAACTTGCAATCCCCATACGCCTGGGCTCTTAACAGGGTCACTTCCTCTCTGAGCCATCTTCTTAATCCGGTATGCAGATCCTTGCAAAAGAGTCTGACAGTCCCCCAGCTTTTTGAGGTGATTCCAAATGCTGTTTGTGTCACAGTCTCTTTACTGTGGAACAATTTCCCTCTTAAAGCTGACTTTCCAGAAAATGGGGGGGAAAAAAAAAAAAGGAAACTCTCCTGAGAGGTATTTGGGGGGGGACTGAGGAAAGTCGCCACTGCACTTTTTAAACTCTTATTTAATGCTATTTTGATTTTATATGGGTTTAGCGTGGGTTATATATTAGGAATCAACATAGATTGTGGCAGTATAAAAAGCAATAAAGAAATGTTTCAACGAATCGATACATACTATAAGAGGAGATGTCTATCTCTTCTGGGAGCTCAGCCACGTTGACCTCAAAGCGATCCTGTACTTCATTAAGGATTTTGGCATCACCTTCATCCGACACAAAGGTAATCGCCAAGCCTTTCGTACCAAAGCGCCCAGCCCGGGCCACCTGCAGAGAGAAGATTGTATCAGGGATCAAAAGAAACTCCTTCCCAAACCGAATCCAGTATTTCAAAGATATCGCTCAGAGGGATAAATCAGATGCTCAATTAGAATCAGGCAAAAAAAATCAGAAAAATCAAATCCAAAATGAGGCTGGGAATCCACGAAAAGAGTGATCAGAAGCCATCCAGAATTTGCAAGCCACCAGCTCCTTACCATAACTGGCCAGTTACTAGAACAGAAGGCAAACCTGATTTCGCTCACCCTGTGTAAATAGGTATCGGAATCCTCAGGCATATCATAGTTGAAGACTATGTTGACTCGCTCTATGTCCATCCCACGGCCAAAAAGATTAGTGGCCACCAAGATACGACGCTGGAAGTCTTTGAATTGTTGATACCGAGAGAGCCTGCAAAGAAAAAAAATATATATTTCCTTGAACTTCATGATTCCTCTCC